GGGTGGTATAGCCAGGAAATCCTAAGATTGTCTGGCAGCCTGAAACTCTAGCTCTTTTTGTGGTGAGCTAGGTTTATTTTTGGGCTAAGAGCTGTGACTGACCCAAGGTCACCCAGCTGGCTTCAAGTGGAGGAGTGGGGAATCAAACCCGGTTCTCCAGAGTAGAGTCCGCTGCTCTTAACCACTACACCAAACTGGCTCTCAAGAGATCATAAGAGAAGCCATATTTGATCAGACCAACGGCCCATCTAGTCCAACCCTCTTGCAGGACAAAGAGCAGAAGGCTTCACAATCACACAAACAAAAAACAATAGAGAATTAATGATTTTTAGGCATGTCACCAATTGTCTTAGGCTACATACTTAAGAAAAATTTGGAAGTGGGGTTTTGTTTTTGTTTTTTGGTTCATTGGTTAAATTAAATACTTTTGCACCACCTAAAAGAAAAGCACCTCCAATTCATCAATTAACAGGTATTTATTTTGGGGGAAAGACTAATGAAAATACTATTTAAAAAGAGTCAAGGCCTGTAGCACCTTAATTACCAACAATATTTGCCAGGGTGTAAGCTTTTGAGAATCAAAGTGCCCTTGGTCACAGAGAAGTAGGATGAATCTTTTACCTGTGCCTAGATCAAGGCAGGTAGCTGTGTTTGTCTGTAGCAGAGTCCAGGAGCACCTTAAAGACTAGCAAAATTTGCGGCAGGGGAGGAGCTTATATGAGTCACTTGCTCACTTCTTCAGCTACATCTGAAGAACACAGATATATTCAGATACATACCTGAAGAAATGAACAGTAACTCACAAAGCTCATCCCTTGCTACAGATTTTGTTAGTCTTTAAGGTGCCATTGGTAACAGTTAATGCTACAAGGGTCAAGCTACAGCAGATAGATAATATCAAAATAAATATTATATAGTGTTCTCAATGGTAAAATTAAAAACACAACACCGGAATATCAGGCTGCATTAGAGTCAGAACAAACTTTACAAAGGCTGTAATAATTTCCCAGACAAAGCTGACGGACATGTCAAACGACCAACACAAGGCCATGTGTGTTTTGGCCTCTAGGGTCTTTTTCAGTGGTCAGTAATAGATACTTAAAAAAAAAAAACACATCCAAAAAATGCTATATATCAATCCTGACCAGGTGTTGTTAGCTCATATATTGTGTGGTAAGATGTAGACTGATAAAGCAGGCCATGGATCTATTCACATGATAACTGCATTCACACACAAATCTTCATTCAGGCCCTGTGTTTCTAATTTTACTATTGCGTACACCATATAACGAATATTTATTTTCATATCATTTTATCTGCTGTAGCTTGACCTTTGTAGCATTATCAGCATATTTCGGGTTGAGTGGTTTCCCCGTCCCTTCTTTTTCTACTGGTATCTGTACCTGAATCCGAGCAAGGGAACTTTGACTCAGGGAATATTATACCCTGGAAAATCTTATTGGTCTTTTAAGGTGGTGCTACGGGACTCCAGCCTTATTCTTCCAGGCAGACCAATGGAGCTATCCACCTGAAACCTGTTTAAAAAGATGTTGCCTATCTACCTGGCCACATACGGAGACCCAGCGGCGGCAGAGGGAGGACACTTAAAGAGGAACTAGGGGGAAAAACTTTATTCCCCCCCCCCCCCCCCCATAAAGGTTCAGTAAGGAAGGTCCCCGTTCCCATCGCCGAGGAAGCGAGCTCTAGTCCACAAAGCCTTTTGTTGGGACAAAAACGGGTTAATCTTTAAGGGGCCACACAAGACTCCTGCATAGACAACCCTCCCCCCCCCCCCCCCCTTTTGCTGCGGATCGAAAAGAGCTCAGAATGAAAACGGCGGGGATCGGGAAGCCAGGGGGAAGGAGGATCCGTTGGCAACAATGAATCAGGGAATTCAAGCTGGTTCTCTCCTGGGAGCGAAGGAGAAGAGAGGCATCATTTTTTGGGGGGGGGGGACCCCGCCATCCCTAATATCCCCGATTGCTTTTTTGTTGTTGTTTTCTTGCACAAAATCTCAGTCTCCTCCCGCCATCCCATAAATCCACCCCCTTTATTTATAAAGCTCACCGCTCCCACGTGGACGCCAGCCAGCAGCTGAGAAATTCAAAATGCAGTGTCTAGGGAAGAGGAGGAGCGAGTCTATGGTTTCGAAGGCAAGAAAGGACCGGCCCGCTGCAATGCATGCATGCAGGCGCCCTCCATGTTCCCACGCCTCTCCAGGAATCCCGGACTCTCCTGTTTTAACCCTTGGGGGGGCCCGGCTCAGGCTGAAAGAGAACTTTGAATCGTCTTCCCAAAGGGAAAGCCCCCAGAAAAGGAAACGCCCCCCCCACTTGTGTATTTCTGTTTTCTGTTCCTTGGCCCTCTTCCTTTAACAATAGAATCGACACAGCAGATTTGTGTTTTGTTCCCTGACTGGGATTGCCAATCTCCAGGCGGGGGCTGGAGTTCTCCCGGAATTATAACTGACCGGCAGATTACAGAGATCAGTTCCCCGCAGGGGGGTAGGCTTCTCAATTTCCTGGGGGCTGAATTTGGTCCAGGCCAACACTCAGTAACTGAAATCCTGATGTAAAATTATAAAATTTAGCAACCCAACATAGGATCACAGTTTAGAAGCCATTGTAAAAATCATAATCTTACATAAGAACATGAGAGAAGCCATGTTGGATCAGGTCAATGGCCCATCCAGCCCAAACTCTTTCACACATTGGCCAAAAATACCAGGTGCCATCAGGAGGTCCACCAGTGGGGCCAGAGCTCCAGAAGCCCTCCCACAATTGCCCTCCAAGCACCAAGAATACAGAGAGAACTGCCCCAGACAGAGTGTTCCCTCCATACTCTGCAGCTAATAGTCAGTGATGGACCTCTGCTCCAGATGTTTATCCAGTTGTCCCCTCTTGAAGCGGTCTATGCTTGTAGCCACCACCAC